AGTAAAATATCCAGTGAGAAATAGAAAGCTGAAATAAACCATGCCAGTCTTGAAAGAACAGTGGTAAACTGCATGGTCTAAAGATAAAGGTGTTATATAGTGAAAATAAATATATGGTAAAATGTTAAGATGAAGTCTAAGTGAAATAAACATGAGAAACCGCAGAAAACAAATCCTTAATGGTGAGTATCAGTACTAACAAAAGGGGTTGTGGCCACTTGAAGCTTCTTCCCACTCTATGGCTCTAGTTCCTTCGTTTAGGTTCCTAATCATATTTGGCCTTTCAGCAGGTAGGGACTATCAAGTATTAGTAGGTAGGAGGCTGGATAGAGACACAAAGAGAAAAACTAGTCAAATCACATTTTTTATTTAACTACAGTTAGTTTATTTAGTGCACGCACACGTGTGTACGTGTGTGTGCATGTGTGCATGCATGGAGGACTGAGGGCAACTTGTGGGAGCTGCTTCTTTTTCCACCATGTGGGTCCCAGATATCAAACTGGGGTCTTCAGGCTTGGTGGCAAGCACCTTCACCTGTTGAAACCACACAACAATGTCCCAAATCACAGCTGAAATACAGAGGCCAAAAGACAATCTGCACATGTTGCATTTCTCCTTTCACTATGTGGGTCCTTGAGACTGAACTCAGATCATCAGGCTTGGCAGCAAGCATAGGTGGAGGCTTCAAGTGCCTTCCCTCACCAAACCACTGGCCCCTAATAATGTTAATTGACTTTATATTAAAAAAAAATTTATAGAATTATTTCATGTGTTTGTGGTTTTTTGTTTTTGTTTTTTTAGATTTATTCACTTTAATTTTATGTATGAGCATTTTACCTACATGTATGTCTGTGAGCCATGTGAGGCAGAAGAGGGCATCCGATCCCCTGGAACTGGAGTCACAGACAGTTCTGAGGCACCATGTGGAGACTGGGATTTGAATCTAGGTCCTCCCTGGTGCTCTTAATCTATGAACCATCTCTCCAGCCTACTGCTAATTTTTTTTTAAAGGGACATGTAATTAAGTACCTAAAATTCAAGCATACAACCCAGACTTAGCATTAACTGCTGGACAAACTTGAATTACCTATAACTCTCTACATCCCGTGGTTTGAATGTCAAATGTCCCCCACAGGCTCACATGTTTGAACACTTGATCCCTACCTGAAGATGTTGTTTGAGAAAGCTGTAGAACCTTTAGGATACAGAGGAAGCATAGGATAGAGAAACAGGTCGGGGGTGGGGGGTGGTGGTATTGAGCCATGCAGTTTTACATCAGCACAGCTGCCCTTCTTACAGACTCTGCCTTTCATATGCAGACACAATGTGACCAGCCAGCCTCCTGCTCCTGCCACCATGCCTTTCCAGCCACAATGGACTGCATGCCCCTGCAACTCTAAGCCAAAATAAGCCTTTCTCCCTCAAGTTGCCTTTGTCAAGGTATTTTATCATGGCAACAGCAAAGTAATTAAGACACTAGCTGATCCTTATATTATTAAGTATATCCCAGATGTCAAATTATTTCATCCTTAAATATTTCAATGTCAGATGAGCCTTAAAACTCAATGCCAACCAGGTGTGGTTGGCACGTGCCTTTAATCCTAGGACTCAGAAGGCAGAGGCAGTTGGATCTCTGTAACAGCCAGGGCTGTTTTACAGAAAAGCCTTGCCTTGAGAAACAAAACAAAACAAAACAAAAATCAACCAATGTCAGGGGCTGGAGAGACAGCTTGGTGGTTAAGAGCACTGACTGCTCTTCCAGAGGACACTAGTTCAAGCCTGAGCACCCACAATAGCTCACAACCTTCTGTAACCCCAGTTCCAGGGATTCCGATGCCCTCTTCTGGCTTCTGTAGACATTGCACACACAATGCACAGACATATACATACAGAAATAATCACATAAAATAATAAAATAAAAAGTTAGGGAAAAAAACTTAAGGGTTGGGGATTTAGCTCAGTGGTAGGGTGCTTGCCTAGCATGCGCAAGGCCCTGGGTTTGGTCCTCAGCTCAACAAAGAAAAAAAAAAAGAAAAGAAAAAAAGAACTTAAAATCTCACCCCCAGTATTCTATTTTCCTACAGTTTAAAGAAACAAAAACTGAAAAGTTCACTAATATTCAGAAACTAAATTATGATGCCATTATCTAATCAGTTCTACACATAAAGGAGTTAATGCTTCAACAATTTCACTGTGTGGTTTCATAATGACATCTAGTGGATTAAAAGTGCAACAGAAGTTGTAAGAATAAAAACAACCATTGTCATAGGGCTGTGTGGGCAAAAGTTCCCAGGACCAAATCAGTAAGTCACCAAACATCCTTAACAACGTCATCTGTTTTCAAGGAAAAAGAATGAAAATGTATACAAACTTTTAAACTTTCACAATAAAAAGGCTCTTTATAACCTGACTTCCTGCTTCACCTCATTTCTGTTAGTTTCCTTTATAAACTACCAACTAGAAAGAGTTCATCACTTATTCTAGAACATACCAAACCAGGCACATTACAGATCCTACACTTTTCACTGTTCCTATTTCAAAAAGTCTCTTGAATTTATCAATTCAGTTCAGCATACCAATTCAAAATAAATAGTTTAATTCCATCCCTTGCATGAATTCTCTCTGTACTATTTCCTTAGAATTTTAAAATCTGGAATTCCCATGGCATAACTTTTTCAGTCAAGTACATCAAATATGTCTATATTACTTACGAGATTTGGTATACAAGAGACTACAGTAATGGAAATATAAGCCCATAGAGGGTCCCAGTTGACATATTAGTACTCCCTAAATGCTTAACAAATATAATGTGCTCACTTACATGCTGACTGATGTGTTCTAGCCATGCACTGTGTTTTACAAAAAAAAAATAAAATCCATTATTACAATGAGATTTATAGTTATAATCATGATGGTCAAGATTGGATCTGTCCTTCACTCTTCTATCTCTTATAATGTAACCAGTGTCCAGTTTGATAAATTCTTCATTTCTTCCTTTTTATTAAGGCAGAGTCCATGTGGCATCAAAATTTCTATTTTCCTGACCTGCCTCCTGAAGGCTAAGATTATAAATATGCATCATTATATCTGGTTCCTATTTATAAACTTCAAAAAGGAAATTAAAATAATTATAAAATTGATTACTACAAACCACACAATGCCTCCAAACAAAGAAAAAAGTTTGAGGCAAAAGAAATATTAGAACAAAATTTGAAGATGATAAAATGTGCCTTCTAAAGCTCTCTCTACTTATACATACATCCCAATTCGATTATGACCAAGTACTGTGGAAGTGAGTAAAATCCTGAGTGAATGTGTGTTGTTAACATGGACACAACCATATCAAGGACCCCAGTGCCTTCGAAGTGGCAAAGCCTTCCCTGGTTGAGGTTCAGAGGGCTGGCAAATCCTTTCTCTGCTCCATATGCAGATGTTGATAACATGTGCAGAAAATGTTCAACATAGCTATTCCCTCCTCCCCCCAGGTATTTATGGTACAAGTCTATTCCCTACAGAAATGGCTCCTGAGATTAGCTAAACATGCCTCCTTGATCCAGCTGTATACCATAAGCCCTGCTTCCTTGATTCAGCTGTATGCGATAGCCTGCCTCACTGTTCAATTCTACGTAATAAACATGCTGAGCTCCCAGGGTGCTGCAGCTTCTCCATCAGAGAACCCAGTCCACTTGAACCCAGCTTTTCTGTACAGGTGTCCCTATGTATCTGTCTTGTTGCCCCTGTTAGGTCAGACCCTGAAGCTATGTAAGGACTCAGACAAGCATCTTAACTCAGGGGATAAAAGAGCTTTTATTTTCATGTGGTCATTGTTTACATTTTTTTCTTGTCACTATCCCTAAATATGTGTTTTCAAATAGAATGAAGAATAATTCTTAAAGTAGAGGTAAACAACACATCAACAAAAGCTCAGGTGACCAAGAAAGGAACTGACTGAATGGGGAGTATGCTGCCACTTACAGTGCTTTAAATTTTAAGCATTAGATACATTTAAAAAGTCACTAAAATTTTTTCCAAGTATTCTGATATGTTAAGAATTTACTATATTATTACCTGATACATAGTAGATAATTTTATTGTGATAATTAGTTTAAAAGAGAAAAGTAAAAGAAACAAAAAATAATAAATGAAATACACTTTAACTGTATTGAATCCCTTAGCATCATGGGTTAAAATAATTTCTATCTGTAGCTACTAGCTGGCAATAACATATAAAAAACATAATTTAAATATAATTGGGAAATTTGATGTTCTTTGACTTAAGACTTTTTCTAATAAATTTTGAATTCTAAAATTTAATACATTTCTTTAGATAGTTCTACAATCTGTTATCAAAAACAAATGAATGTAAAAAAAGATATTTATAAATAAGGGAGGTTATGGTGGTTCGTGTGTATATCCCCAGCACTTGAGGGACAGAAGAAAGAGGACTATGGGTCTCAGGTCAGCCTGGACTACATAGCAAGACATTACCAGCCAACCAGCCAATCAATCCAAAAATAAACAATATTTGAAAAATGAAAATAAGCACTTCATACTAGTCCCTGAAAAAAGAGTGGCGATAAAGAAATGAAGCTGGGGCTGGGAAGACAGCTCAGCAGGTGAAGAGCCTGCTGGGCAACTGTGAAGACCAGAGTTCAGATTCCCAGAAAGAACCCACGTAAAATCCAGGTGTGCTGGCGGTGCATGTATAAATCCAAGCATATGAGAGGCAGAGACAAGGAACAGGGCACCAGCTTCAGTGAGAGACCCTGCCTCAATATAAAAGATGGAGTGACTGAGAAAGACGACAACTGATGTTAACCTCAAGCCTATACATGCACACACACATGCCCATACATATACACCACACATACACACAAGGAAAAAGTGAAATTCAGTAGGTTAACTCTTAATCTCTATTTTCTACCCTAAGTATATCACCTTTAGGTTAGAGGACTGAGGGGAAATGTCGCAAATATAAAATGAAATGTACCTGTACTTACAGCTTGAGCTTGTTGTTGAAACAACTGATTCTGATTCTCTCCGTCTTCTGTTGCATCCCCAAGCACCTGGGAAGCGGGTAACCTACAACTTCCAACAGCAGTGTTCAAATTGCTGGGGAAAACACTTGTCCTTTTAGGAGTTAAATGTGCTGAATCTGAACATCGCATGGCTATAGAGCCTTCCTTTTCTGCCTACACAAAGGAAAAAGGAGAGATAATGAGACTCTATTCCCTTCCAGCACAAATAATCCCCTTGCAGCCATAAGATTTTCACCAAGAACAACAGAGTAGGGAGCAGGAAGCCTTCGCTGACAGAGGAACTAACATTAACCAGACACCTACCATGTGTTCATTTATCTAGACTATCCCACCTAGTTCTTCTACAATCCTCTAAGATTAAGTATCATATCATATTGTGATGGTTAATTGTGGCTGTCAACTTGACTACATCTGGAATCAATGAAAATCCAAGCAGCGGGGCACACCTATGAGGGACTTCCTTGATTGGATGATTTGAGGTAGGAAGAGCCACCCTAAATCTAGGCCACCTTTTGGTGGCAGTCCACATAAAAAGACAGGAAGAAGGAAGCTTTTGGGGTTTTGTTTGTTTGTTTGTTTTGTCTGCTTGTTCTCATTCTCATTGGCAAGTTCATCCATCCTGTTGCTGAGGAATTCCTGTACTAACTAGTATTAAAAGCTACTTCTTTGGGAGCCTGAAACAGACTAAAGAAAGAATAGCAGCTCTCTAAGAATTCTCCAGGACTCTAACATCAGATTTGGACTGCTGAGATACTCAGTTCTTGTGGATTGAATGACTACAGATGCTTGCTTTCCATCCAAGACAGTCATTGCTGGACTACTTGGACCATAGCCTGTAAGCCATTCTAATAAATCTCCTATCCATTCTGTTCCTTTATAGAACCCTAATACACATATTTACATAACACATACCATACAGATATACATAAATCATATATTTGTTTCTTTGAGACAGGGTCTCATTATGTAGTCCAGGTCTGGAACTCATGGTAATCCTCTGGCTTCAGCTTCCCAGGTGCTGAGATTATAGGTATGAACCACCATACTCAACATTTGTCTATTTTATTGATAAGGAAACTATTCCACAACCAGAAAAGTTAAGTAATTAACTCAAGGTCACATAGCTAAAAGGGTGCAAAGAATCTCAAATCTGCACCCAAAATCCTGACATTCTTTTTCAAGTATTTAAAGAAAGGAAAAAAAGCAAGTCAGAACAACACCGGAATAAAAATCAGTTTCTCTACATGAAAATTGACAGTGCTCAGCACAAAACTGGATTTCACCAACCCAGAATCAAAAGAGAAGAGCTCCTGATGCGGCCTCACAGCTGTCTCCCAGCACACAAGCTTTCCATTCAGGCTACCTCACTCAGGAACTTACTGCTTTGTAAGACTTCTGAAGCTGGTGCTTTTTCCGCAGCTTAACTTGCTGATTTACCCGGCGTTTGACTTGCCTCTGAAAATGTTTCAAAGATTCTTGTTTTCTTCGTTGTTGTTCCTTTATTTCCTCTTCAATCATGTATGCTGAAGTCTGTACACAGGAAAAAAACAAGAGAATGAACTTAAATGTCACAATTTTGCCCATGAGGAACGTCCTGAATGCAGAAAGTTTAGTATATAATTGTCAAGAACAAAAACTCAGGTCTATAATCTGGTCTCCAGAAGAACAAGGAAATCACAGTTCAAAACCACCAATCTAAGTATAAGTATAACTAGTGAGTCCCAGGAACCCAAAGCAAGTCAGAAGCTTAAAAAAAAAAAATGGAATTTGTGAATACAAATCTTAATGTTTTATTCAACTAAAACCAAAGATGTCTTCATTAATTCTTAATGAACTGATCTTGACCCATTTGTGTTATGGCTTCTAATATTAGTAAACAGTAGATATACCATATTGCTCACCATTCAGCAGACATGTTCTCAATGTACAGTGCCTTCATACTTAGAATTAGCCACACCCTTTAAGGGTAGAGGGGAGTATGTCACTATTACAGCCCCAGGTAGTCTGCAGCCCACTACATAGTTGATGCTGACCTCAACCCCCTGCCTGTCTCCCAAGTGCCTTTCACTCCATTTCTAGTGGAGTCTTCCTTTCACCCATCTAGTAAGGCCTTCTTAGTCTTCAAGACTATCCAGCACTTCCCTATGCACTCTTAATGCTATAGCACATTTCATTTGAATATGAATAAAATATAGCACTTACTAACGCTCTAGTAGATTATAAATTCTGAGGGCAGGAAATGTTTAATGCACCTTTCTTTAGATAATTTACATATGACAAAATGATGTTTAAATTCTATAGAAATTACTCTTCAAAAATTATATATCTTAATCTAAATAAATCAAGTCTCTTGGTATTGATGTTATTATGGAGCCTTTTCCCACACTGAATTTTATCTATGTATAAACAACAGAATGAGGCAGAAGAAATGTTGGGTCTATGACTTCCCCAACAAGGTCATTAAGCAACTTCTGCTGAAGCTCTGGAACACTCATTAGAAAGCTATTCTCTTCAATCAAGTCAAAGAATTCTGACTACTCTGAGACTCCCATGTTAGAGGGAAGCACAGCTTGCCAAATCAGTCATATGGCATGGAAAGATATCCAGCCAGCCCCAAGTATTATAGTCATCCTAGCCCAAATGCCACACACATGAAAAAGCCTTACTGGACATGAGAGCTGACAAAGAACCAAGAACTTTAACAGCCAGAACCCATTAAGCTGTCCTAAATGCAACCAGTTACTTAAGCCATTCTGCTGAGGCCCAGGACAGTGAAGCAGATAAAAGACATGCCACTTCACTCTGTGTCAACTCCTGACACCATACAGTATTACCTGCTTTATGCCACTATGTTCTGATATGGTTTGTTATATAACAAGACAACGTGTGTGTGTGTGTGTGTGTGTGTGTGTGTGTGTGTGTGTGTGTGTGTGTGTGTTAATATGTAAGGGGGATCATAGATAAGACCACAGTGACTTTTCATAATAATTAGCAAAGAGAAATGAAGCGCTGAAGCTATAAGGCTTTTAATGAACCCTGAAGACCCCTTGAAATTTTAAGATCTTTAGAATAGGTATGTCCTTAGAGTAGACAAGTAACTATTTACCATTGTGGTGATATTTTGTTTGTACTCTAACAAAATTTGCCTGAAGATAAGAGGACAGAGCCAGCCACTAGATTAAACATAAGAGTCTGGCAGTGGTGGCACACACCTTTAATCCTAGCACTCAGGAGGCAGAGATCCATCTAGATCTGTGATTTCAAGGCCACCCTAGACTACATGAGATTAATCCAGTCTAAAAGAGAAACAGAGCCAGGCAGTGGTGGCACACACTTTTAATCCCAGCATGTGGGATCTCATTCCTTTGCTTCTAGTATTTGGGAAGCATACACACCATTAATCCCAGCACTAGGAAGGTTAAGACAGGAAGTGAGTGGAGAAAGGCATATAAGGCAGGAGGAGACAGGTACTCAGCCCTTTTGGCTGAGGACTCAGGGGCACTCAGTCTGGGGATTCCTGGAGACAGGATCTTCCCCTTTCAGCTGAGGAGTTGACGAGGTGAGAAGTGGCTGTGGCTTGCTTCCTCTGATCTTTCAGCATTTACACCTGATATCTGACTCTGGGTTTTTATAGTAAGACCAATTAGGATTTGTGCTACATACCATATCTTTGAATTGACAGGGCAGTGCCTGTTAATAAGGATGGATTTCCAGATTAAATATGCTGAAGTAATAAAAGAGTCCTACCAGATGCTTGATCAAACTCCCTTTGACTGGAACTGATTATAGGATTATTTAAAAAGAGGCAAGGATACAATTTGTACATCTCTCAAGACTTTAATATTCTGAATGTGTGAGAACGTAAAATTAAACTATTTTAAACCACCAAAAAGGTGTTATGGTAACAAATGTTGAGCAGTCTGACACTACTGACATTATAAAGGTACCTTAGTAATTAAAAAGCTGTACGGGGCCAGTGAGACAGCAGAGCAGGCAAAGGCTCTGATGACCCACATGGTGGGAGGAGAGAAGCAATCTCCACAAGCCTTCTGACCTCCACACCACACACATACACAAATAAATGGATGGAATTAAAGTTTTTTAAAGTGTACTGACTTCAGTAATAAAGGAACTTTGTACCAGTGTTTATTTATTAATTCCCATTTCACTCACCTTTTTCAGGGCTTTCCCTCCTTCATTCCCTATTACTAAAGAAATTTTGATCATATGCTTCATGTCTAAATTGTTTTAATTTGTTCTGATTTGTTCCCCTAAATCTAATCTCTCCCTAACCCTTAAAACTTAGAGGCAATTAATATAATCAAAACAGTTTGATCATGGAACATATCTATAAATGTTAAATAGTGAATAAAATCAATATTCCCCATGACTTTCTATAGTTTGCCATTCTCCTTTTCAAATCCTGTCAGCTACTAAGCCTTCCCCTCCAATTAATCCAACCCACCCTTGTAACCCTAACCACTGCCTGCTTGCTTCCTACTGTCCTCAAGTCCCATAATAGGAGAATCATCTCATCTCTACTTATCCAGATTCTTTTAAACTTTCCTGGGTTCATACCAACCCAGGCATATTTCTTCTTTGATTAAGTGAGATATTCTTAGCACTTAATCACATGTAGCCCAACTCTTAAATTCCTTCCTGAAAGGTGGCACGGTAGGCAGAAATCAATGAATATGTAACTATATACATGATGAACATAAATAAAATTAACTTACCATATTGTTATTAACATGTATAACTGGAGGGAGCTGATGTTTCAGGTTTTTGTTTTTTGAGACAGGGTCTTACTATGTCTGACCTGGAACTCCCAAGCTAGCCTCAAATTCAGAGATCCACCTCCTGCTGCCTCCCAAGTGCTGGCATAAAAGGCGTGTGCTGCCACATCTAGCCATTACTAATTTTGTATTTTTATCTTTTATGTGTATGGGTGTTTTGCCTGCATGTGTGTCTGTGCACCACAAGCTGGCAGTGCCTCAGGGACCAGAAGGTTTAGCTTCTCTGAGGTGTAGTTAAAAACGTTGTTAGCTGCCTTCCGGATGCTGGGAACTCTGGATGGGTGGCCACTGTGGTAGTCTTAACTGCTGAGCCATTTCTCCAGCCCCACATTTATAATTCTTAAAATTTACTCTGTGTGCTTGTGTACACATGTGCATGCCATGGTATGAGCTCATGTGTGGAGATCAGAGGACTTTTCAGAAGTTGGCTCTCTCTTCCCCTGGTTTTGAGGCAGGGTCTCTCTTGTCTCTGTTACTGCACTCCAGGCTAGCTGGCCCACAAGCTTCTAGAAGATTCTGTCTCTGCCTCCCATCTCAATACAGGAGTGTGGGGATTACAGATGTACACCAACTCATCCAGCTTGTACCTGGATTCCAGGACTAGAACCTCAGCTCATCAGGCTTGTACAACTACTACTACCTGCTAGCCATCTCCCAAACCCTTATGTAATGTTTAAATGTGTTGTTTCTCCTATAAAATCAAGAACATTAAAAATATTTTTTTACCCATGTTTAGTATTTCAACTATACTAAGAACATTGCTGATTTCCTGCATTCCATAAATACTTTCTGGGTATCTACATATATTAGGCAATATTTATTCAATATTATTTAATTAATTATTTAATAAAACGGAGGGTGTGGAATATGATTTGTTCCCTATGCACAATAAAATGTGTACAAAGAGCTAAGGAACAGTTTGTTGAAAGACTATGCAAACTAAACAAAAACCTTGCAAAACTCTTCTCTTGTGTTAGCATGAGAGATCATTCAAACATTTCCATGTGTAAACTTTCGAAAGGGCATCCCTTCATCCGAAATGCTTCTTCCTATCTGTAGTTACTGCATTTCTATTCCTTCAGGGCCAAGAAAGGCAATATTTCCTCATTCAGTCAACAAATACGTCCTAAAAGGCCTACTTTACACCAGAAGAGGAATGAACAGGACGTTTCCCTGTCCTCGTGGAATTTACAACTTTTTCAGAGTTTCTGTCAGGATTAAGCCCCTTCTATTTGTCTTACTTCATTTTGTCTTGATCTTCATCTAGAAACATAAACTTTGAGCAACTAATTAACATTTATAGTGTGATCAACTGTCTTTCCTATCATGTTACAGAGTGTCTGGAAGATGTACACAGTACCTATGTCTTACACAGCAAACAATCAAGTTTGTGAAACAAACTAGTGTATTTTTGCTGGTGCATGAATTATGTCCTGTATAGTAAGTGAATAATAAATATTTAAATAATATTTGATTATGCCAACAAAAGATGAGGCAAGTTCTGGAAAACACATCATTACTGTATAATTTCTACACAAGAATATAACCTGTAACAGAATGGAAACAGCATCATCCTTCAGCTGTTCATCTCTAAGCACCAAAAATTAGAAAAGGCTAATTAAAAAAAAAAAAAAAAAAAAAGGCGGGCAGGGAATCACTGTATTTGGGTCAACTGACACTCACATGTGCTGGGATTTCCGAGCAATTTGGTGAGGCAGGTTCCACCCATGCCCCAATTGGTACTATGGCCTGGTTCCTCTCGGCCAGCACTGCCAAAACGTCCTTGCTCTTCGTGGGGTTTAAAGCCAGGGGCAATTTGGTGGGATTCCGGGGTTTCTTGAGGGGCGCCATTCCTCCTGGCATCTGACTTCTGGTTGGGAGAAAGGAAAAGAGAGGGGGTAAGAAATAAAGACGGGGGCGGGGGAGGGTTTAAAAGTTACTTTCTGGAAGGAATGGGGATGAAGGGGAGCAGAATTAAGGACCGGTCTGGGAGATGGGAAACTGCCCACAGGCGGGCGGTTGGGTCTCAGAGACGACCTGCGGCGGCGAGAAGCGCGGCCCCGTCGGTGCAGGAGGGCGAAGAACCTGTGAAGCCGGGGGCCGCCGCGCCGCGGACCTCCTCACACTCAAACTCCGCGGGCTACTACGGAAACCCAGGCCAGCAAACCGCCACTCCGCGTCCGACGCCCGCCCGGCCCCTTCCGGGTTCGCGGCATCCCTCCGGGCTGGGAGGGTGAGCGGGGCGGGGATCCGGGCGCTGGGGCTGCGTCACTTCCGCTTCCTGCCCTTCGGACCGGAGGGCCTGAGCGGGTTGGTGAAACTTCACCGAGTTTCCCCTCTGCCAGTCCGTGGGCCCTGGTGCTGTAGTCATCTCTTTTTCTTTCCTTCTTTTTCTTTCTTTCTTTCTTTCTTTCTTTCTTTCTTTCTTTCTTTCTTTCTTTCTTTCTTTCTTTCTTTCTTTCTTTCTTTCTTTCTTTCTTT